GTGCAATAAACAATGGCATTGTTCCCCTTAGAATTCCTACTATGGATGGAGAGATAAGTGTCACCAAGTAAAGTCGAAACAGGGTTCCCAATCAAGAAAATCCTAATAGCGTTAACATCCACAAAGTTGTCAACATTATGAATAAGACTAGGCCATAGATAAGCAAAGAAAATATAGCCTCAAATGCCAATATGCTACCAGAATTAGCAAATAAAGTGGTTTTCCCAATCAAGAACTTAGAAGTCAAACCTTTGATGCCCGCCTTAACCATCATATTAGCATCTATATCAGACTTCGTCAAATGGGTCACTGCAGCAATATCTTGGGGCTTAAGAGCTTCCTCCAAACCAGTATAAGGAACCTTATCAGAAACTGGTGTACCCAACAGATAAGCATACTCTTCCAAGTTGGCATGAGCTGATAATCAGGAAAAGTGAAGCATCGGTAGACAGGACCATAGAATTGCACAAGGGTGTTCACAATTCCGTCTTCAATGTTGGTAGAAAGAAAAACTAGAAGTCTCCCATGACGAGATCTAGAGCCTGCACGATCAACTATCAATGACACTAGCTTTCTCAAATCTGTAAGATCGGGATCTCGGAAACCGTACTTCTGAGTGTTTCTCCTTACAATGTCCATAATCACAATATTTACGATGTTTGCAAAGGAAAATTTTTGAGATCCTTAAAAACTGACTGAAACAAAATGTCCATGAATGCGTGAGTGCAAGATGCAACACTCGCAAATAAGATCACACAAAGCACACAGGTTCAAAGGTTTGACGCAAGCATGGGGCCAAAGGTAAGAACTAACCCACAATGGTATGTACTAAGGTTATATAATGCACTTGTAGAACAAGGTTCTAAAAAGTTCCTAGAGTCATAATTCCATCTTTTGGATATTATTGGCTTAAACGACTACTCATCAGTCAACAATATTCTCAAGAGAGACTCGTTTGATTATGGTATCATGTAACAATTAATTCAAGTCTACACCTGAATAGCCACCACACCACGTCCTAATAAGACCAAGATGGGTTAAAGGGTTCTAAGGTCCTCAGCTTCTCAGGCTCCCAGGTCAGAAAACGTAATGGCAAATACGACTACTCGTATGACATCTACAATTCCAAAGGGACCTCCACTAAGCGAGGGATCTCAAGTCAGCTTAGTAAGGACTACTCCATGTAAGCCGAACAAGACTATAACGTCCTCCTATCATAAGTGCACTCAAGTTCGGGTATAGAACTTATCTCACCACACAGATCACCAGACACCCAAATAGAACAAGCAATAACAAACAAGTCAAAAAAATAAGCACAAATAAATAAAAATAGACTAAACCCACAAGGGATTAGTCCCTAACAGAGTCACCACTTTTCTGTAGCAGGGAAATTTGTGAGTGTAAGCTATTGATTAACTTAACTAAAAAATGCAAGAGTCGCCATCGCACTTTTATTTTATCTAAAAAGGAAAGGAAAAGAGAGAACAAAACCTAAACAAGTTCTAAAACAAGAACACATAGACAGCGACTTGGTAAGGGGGTTGGTTATGCAATGGGAAGGTGTTAGCACATCTATAGTACTCTATATGAGCCCTTTGAAATATCTACGCTTTTTGGTTTGAAAAGTTTTGTTTAAAAGGAGATTGCGGAGATGAGAAGAGAATTATTTTTTAAGATTTTTGTGTTTGGAGAGGCTTATCGTATCATGCCTATGTACCCACAAAGTGAAATATAGGATTAAAACCACATAGTTCGTGGTACAAATAACAAAAATTGGTTTATTTTGATTGATTTTTAAATGTAAAGACAAGTCGTCATTTTAAGGAGAAAACTACGACTAGCCGCCCACAAGTATAAGACAACATTTGCATCACCTAAAGATGGAGGATTTTGCTTGAATTAAAATCAACAAGTCTATCACTCAACATCTAACTGGAAAATGTCAACATCTTAAATACTACGGGGAATAGGAGAATTACATCTCAACTATGAAAATGACGTGTCTAAACTTTATGAAAAGTTTTAAATGAAAAAGTGCACAAAGGCACAAAAAGTTTGAATGAGGTGAAGTGTTTTTTATATCTTTTTGAAATTATTCAAATTATAATTAACACTTATTGACATTTATCAAAGAAAATAAAGTTATAGGATCTGTATGGTCGATCCTGTAAGTAACCAAATTCTTTTTCGATTTGGAAGACCAGTGGTTGTTTACTAATTTTCACAGTAAACAATAGGCGTATGGCCATAATCTCTTGAGACAACGGGCTGTGAGGCTCGTAGTCGCTTCTGCTGCTAGACCTCGAAAGAGAGCGGGTGCTTCACCCGAGGAGAGGGCTGCGATCTCTATGGGGAGAGGGACTCTGAGCTCGACCTTTAAATCTGGGTGGATGAGAATGATGACGCACTGTCTGGATATCTCTTCTGGTCCTCTTAGCCCCGGGGCAGTGCTCGCTCCAGGGAGAGGCATGACCGCGCTTCCTTATTGCCATAGAGTCTGGCTCTGCTGGTGCTCGACGACGTCTTCCTCGTCTAGGAGAAAGACTTCGAGATCTTCAGCGTTCTTTCCTTGCTGGAGGAGGTCTTGGTCGGCGTGATTCTTCTAAGGCTCCAATCCTCGTGTTCTGTTGGAGGATAAAGAGATTATTTTTGTTGAGGACTTCGAGTTGAGCCGCCATGGTCGGGTTGGTGTTGGGCAGAATCAGAACGGTCTGATGATCTTCGAAGGGTGGGCCCTCGGCGCTGTCAGCATGGTCGGGGGAAGGAGACGCGGTGGCTCCATCTCTCTGCTGATGGACCTTGTTCCCAAGAAAAGGGGTGGCTCCGTCAGCGTCTGTCTTGCTGACGGGGAGGATGGTATTGTGAGGGTCGCAGACGTTGTCATGGGTGACCATGATCAGAATCTTGAAAGGACTGCTTTGGTCTTGAATTCACAGGAGAAAGAAAACAAGGAGAATAGAGTTTCCCACACACGATGCCACTGATCTTGGCGGATGATCAGAACCTGAAGTGGGCCAGAGACTTCGTCGATGATGTTGGGTTGCAAGGATGAGGAGAGGGTGTACCTGCAAGGCACTCCGATGCTAAAGTAAGAATCAGGAGGAGAGAAGGAAAGTACATAAAATGTATGTCTTAGGGTGATTTAGAATGATCTAGAATACCTGACCCTCTAAAGTGAGAGGGTTTTTATAATGCCCCCAGCGCTTGGCCATTGGTCTCTATTTTCAGAGCGAGATAACCGTTCCCTGAAGAATAGGTAACTTCCAGAAACTAGTTGTTGGGACGGGCAGAGGTGCTCGAAACTAACCGTTGCCACAGGCAAGGGCGTTGTCGCGGGCACAGGCGTGGTGACTGTTTCTGGATGGTAGAACAGTGTGTGACGGGCAGGAATGTGACGAGGGGCAGCTAATCTTGGTGGTCAGCTGGCCAACTTTCCTCGACAGAGGGGTAGAGGAGAGGAAACTTCACTTTGCCCTTAGGTGGCACAGCGAAGGCTATTGGTCCGTCCTTGGAGCAGAAGTGGATTAAGTCATGCCTAACCATTTGGCCAGTCCGGAACAGTTACCATTCAAACTTCCTTTACCTTTATTTTCTTTTGCTGATTGCGCCTGCAAAGCCACATCGTTTTTTAAATTTCCTGCAGCTCTTTTAACCATTCTTTGTTCACGAGATTCAAGTATCCTTTGAAGCTCTTCCTTTATCAATCTTGACAAGCCTTTCGACTTTTCTATAACTATTACCACATGGTTGAACTTACATACTCAACAATTTTCATACTCAATAATTTTTATGGATAATCTTCTCAATCTCTGCATAAAAAAAATAGTGGAAGACTAATCTCACATACACGATTAAGCATAAGTTAATAGTTCAAAATATGTAAGAAAATAAAATAACGAAAAATTTCAACTAATACAAAGAATTTAGAAGTATTAATAATTGGTAGTCTCAAGCTGGCCAGTGTACTAAATCATTGGAAGTTATAAAAGTGGTTAAATACCGAGTGTCAAATTCAAAGATGGCAATTTTATCGAATTTAATTTCATGACTAAGTTGAACAAAAGGGTTAATGTTTGATTGATGAGTTTTTAAAATATAGAATAATTTCAAATTTGCAAAGAATAAACGTGATGATTAAAAGAAATGACATAGATGTGACTGACTTTATTTTCTCTAACCATTCTAACTTAACTTTGCCAACATAAGTTGTTATCTATATGATTATTGTTTTCCTTATTGATTATTCCTAATTTTTTAGTGAATAAACTTTTAGTTTTATATTAATCCCTAAGGTATGTGGTGAATTAGATATAAAACTAAGTTACTAGATTAACATAAATAATTCGATTTAAATATTCTATCCCTAGTCTTAACTGATATAGGACGAAACCGTTTTTATCAAAGCATTTAACATTTTCAAATAAAAAAATCATACAACAATTATCAATGATAAATTCATTAAAAGCATTAAACATGGATGCAAAACAAAACATACATTGATAACAATATTTTGAATGACAAAAAAAGAGATTATTTTATATAATTTTCTTTCTATCGGCTTAATTATTTTTTATAGACTAGACATCATCTATACGCAATCGTAAAAACTAATTTTTTAATTGAGGATAATTATATTAAACGATAAAATTCTTTCAAAAAATTTAACACTACTTCATACTTACAGTTGAATTTAAATTCAGAATCTCTGATTAAACTAAAAAAAGACTATTGTTATCTGAACCAAATGCTATCGGTTTATCCTCGTTATCATTATTATTTGGTTCTTAAACATATATAATACAAACTTTTAAACAACAATTGTTATAGAATGTTTCTGTGTGGCAAACTTTATACAATTGGATTCTTTCCTATCTTCTCTCACTGTTGCTTACAACACAATGATAGAGAATCAACAAAGGGAATGAAAAGTGAGCAATGCCAAAATTCAAAAAGTCATTAAAGAATGAAAAGTAATGAACAAAACTCAAGAAACAAACAACTTAGCAAAAGACTTGAGAAGAACAAGAAGTGCTCAAGCTAAGAAGTTGGTCTAGATACTCAGAACCCAAATCTTCCAACACCAAAACATTTTCTGAAACAATATTTTCCATTTCCCTTTCTACCCTTTTGCTCTTTTTGTTACTACTTGCCTTAGACTTTCTTTTCATAGTGTGTTTCTTCTTAAGTGCCAAAACAGGAGAAGAACCATCTTTTTCCCAACACTTGTAATTCACCATATCTTTCAATGATTCTCTCACAACTTGTTCAGGAAAATTCAACACTGCCATTGAACCTCTCGTTGATAAAGCTGCTTGATCATACGCTAATGCAGCTTCTTCAGCTGTATCAAATGTTCCAATCCAAACTCGAACGCCGTTTCTCGTCGAATCTCTTATTTCCGCCGCGAATTTCCCCCACGGTCTTCTCCTAACTCCTCTATATGGCCTCTTAGGTGATGAAAATGATGATGATTGTGCTAGTTGAGTTGAATCGGATGAAACTTCTTGTGATTCTATACTTGTTTGAGAACCAGAAGCGTTGGAGTTGGAGTTGGAATTGGAATTGGATGAAACTTCTTGTGTGTTTTGATCGGTGAAGTTCAAGGGAATGGTGATGATGTCTTCATTGAAAATGAAGAAATCGTCCCATGAAAAGGGTTCTGAAAAAGAAGTGTTAAGGTTTTGGTATTGGAAGAATGAGGAATCAGAATCCATGTCTTGTGTGAACATTAAATTTAAGGTTTTTGATTTGTTTATTTTTGGTCACTACTTTGGGAGTGGTTTGAAAAGATTTCAAGTGTTTGGTCTCTTTATATACTCATTGAAAAAATGAAACATAACGACCAAAGAGATAAACAGAAAAGGAAAATTAAATTAGTTAATAAAGTGATGTTGAAAGATTTTGGTCAAGGGGGGTGTATTTGGATAACTAATTATATTTTATTAGTATTGAATTATTACTATTATTATTATTAATATTATTATTAATTTGTTACACTATTAATTAAAGGGTGAAAAAAAGTATTGATAGAAAATAGGCACGTGAAGTGAAAGGAAGATTAAAGAAACGTGGGCAACTCCAACTTGACTTTTAGAAGGTTCGAAAACAACTTTGTGTTTGCACCAATGCTACTCACTCATTCTTTTACTATTTGATGTTTTAAAAAAATTTAAATTTGAATTTATTTTTTTGTTTTGTTTATTTTCTATGATTAAATGGTTTAGTGCTGAATTTTTTTTTAAAAATAAATAAATAAAACGGTGCTGTTTCGAATCTGTGTCCTTAATTTTTATATTTTTACACCGCTATCAATTAAACTGATTTAATTGAACAATTTGAATTTAGTTTTTATTTAAGAGAAATTTATAGTCTATTTATTATAGAATTCTTTTTTTTTCCAATCCTTTGTTAAATAAATTTTAGTATTTTTTGGACCACTTTTTTTTTGAAAAAAATATATAATAAAGATGTTTGGGATACAAAATTTATATCAGTATCTAAGTTTAATATATAAATAATCATTTTTATATATTATAAAATAATTGATTAATCAATTAAAATTTTAAAAGTTCTCCTTCATCATTTAAAATACAATCGTTATCATCTTCTTCAATAAATTCAAACACAATAAAAAACTCAGAAAATTTAAATTCAAAATTAATTTTTTTCTTTATCTCTTTTTCTTCAACAAATCTCAAAATTCCTAAATAAACATCTTATTATTTTCCAAATACACAAATCTCTTTTTTTTATAATAAGAAATATAAAAATTTGAGGAACTACGAAACTAACAAGAATTTAAAAAGGGTTTGAAAACAAAACTGAATACTAAAAAGGTACTAAAATTAAATTGAATAATGAAAGGGTATGAAAATCAAATTCAACAAGATATGAGGGATGAAACCAAATCCAATAGAGAAACACTCATTCGGGTGTGAAAAGAGAAATCTAACTCAAAGAGATATAGAAATGAAATCACACTCGAAGGGGCACAATAGGGTTCAAAACATTTGGATATACCTGCATAATATATTGTAACAATAGAAGTATAAGAAAAGGCCATGGACGATAATTTTTGAACAGTAAAAACTATCATTCGGGATTTCGAGTTGTCTCCAAGTAAAATGCTCCAAAAATAACTTGATTTGGGTGAACTTGACCCCTGGTTTTACGGAAATAGAAGAAGAAGTTTTGAATTACAAGTAAAAGTTTCCTTTCAGGTATCTTAGACTCTTAACATGAGCTAATTCCCACATAGAGTTCACTTGGGAGCATTTTATCATCCTTATTTTCAATAGGATTGCTTCATGGAGTCACATGTATGTAAGTTTGAGAGGAAGATTGATCCTCATCCACTATGTCGTTAGTTATATTCATATTTTCTCTCTTACCTTCTTGAAGACGACGTTTTGGTTTGGAAGAGGTTAGTTATGCTTTATATGTGATTTTTTTGGATAGTAGTAAAAAGGAATCCAAGAACACTTAGGTTCCGTGGTCGGAAGTTTGCAAGCCAAAGTTCAAGGATGGGTAAGGTGTTGAAGATCTTCGCCCAATCAATCTTAAGCTTCTTGGTAAATGGCTCTAGTGGATGTTGCATTATAAAAATATTTGAGTTGATATTCTTTCAACTAGATAGAGACCTCTAGGGGTCATATCGTTATGTGGGGGAGTGACTGGTAGTTCAGACCCAAAAACTAGTTTTTACTAGTTTTTTTAGGGTTTGTCGAGAAAGGTTGGAGATATCATGTACACCTTTTGTAGGATGAGCTATGAATGTGCTATATTATGTTTCACCTTTGTTTTATTAGACTTTACTATATTTTGTTGCAATGTTAGGGTTCATGAGTAGCATGGGTCATTGGGATGATGGGTATTGGTTTTAGGAGCTGAGATGGATGAATGGCTTGTTTATTTGGGAGTTTGAGCTGGTTATTAGGTTATTCTCGGCTTTGACGAGTAATAGTTTATCATTTGACACAGACTCCTAAATTTGGTGCTACATCGAATACGATGTGTATTCTATTAAGTCAACACATTTGTCCTTACATATTCATCTTTGTAATATGATAATCAAGCTTATGGGTTTGGGGACATACTTCTTTTGGTCTGAAAAATTTGGACCTCGTCTAAGGTTATCGTCTTCTCTTGGTAGTTAATTTACGATAGAGTTTCCACGATAGAATACCACTTTAAACTTCGAATTATGGAGGTCATTAAAAAGCTTTTCCACAGTTGTTATCTCATATATACTAAGATTATTTCTCTTTTTTTTTCTTCTTTCATTTGTGAGGTAGTGACTTTCATTCGGTGAGAGAAACTCTCATATGTTCATCACTTGCAATGTAGTGATTTGTCTACGGTATATGATTTTTAAATGGTTAGATTGAAAGTTTGTGTTTTAGTGAGAAAGTTAAGTTATTTGTTCAAAATTCATTAGATCATTAAAAATTAGATCAAAAGTTAAAGTAAATTTGACCTTCATTTGATATTCCTAAATGTAAAATATTTGAAAATCTCAAAATAATATTATTTTCTCAAGTGTAACAGCGAATGTGGAGAAATTAGTGAATAAAATTATAATACCATCTTATGAATGGTGTTGTGGAAATACCTCATATTTTTCCTACACTTTCTTTGAATGGCCAACTGAATTCTTTTTTATGTGTTTGAGTGGTAGCCACTTCTAAGGGTGTCTTCCCTTTTTCAAGATGATTATGAAAATTATGTGTGATTGTTTTATTTGACTTTAATTTTTAATCATAAGGATTTGCTTCTACATGCTTTCCATCGTTACAAATCCGAAAAAAAATATTTAATTTTACCATCCTTAATTTTTATAGTTAAAATCTCTATAAAAATATGAATTGTAATGACTTAAGTTTAATAATACAACCGTACTTTAAAAAAAACTAATCCAATAAATGAAAGAACCTCGTAATTTAAGTATGTCATAGTCAATTACTTTTTAATCAAATAGAATCTAAAACACTCTTAATTATTTCTTATTTTAATATAGATTTATCTTTATATCTAAGATACTTAATTGAAATAGTTATTCACATACCGATAACTATTTTGCATTTATCTTAAAAACAATAAAAATAGTTTCTTTTCTGTAAATAGTTGAACACAGTATTTTATTGTTCATCTTCTTAAAAAAGTTAACATATTAAAAATATAAATTAAAAGTCATAATAAGTAAGACACTATTATGTCTGCGTATGTGTCTCTATCGACGAGTCGCTCTCAAGTTTTGTTTGGCTTGCCTGCTCTGTTATACACTCGAGAGGGAGTGACTACAGTACTGAGTGAGAGTGTGGCAACTGATTGGTACTGCAACCCACTTGATAGATTCAAAATATTTAAATTTTAAATTTAAATTTGAAGTAAAATTAATTATGAAAACAAAATTAATTGTACTTTTTCAAGAATCAAACCTTTATGAATCATCGGTACCTTTATAAAACTCAAAAATATCATTTGCGTTTCAGGAGATTTAAATCTAAAAGCGCATATTTATATAATAAATAAAAAGTTTCCTCAACAAAGCACCCTGATTATCCCAAAACTTAATCAGAATATTAATCTTCAGATAAACTTAAGGGTGAGTTCAGACAACAATCTTCGGATCAAGCCTTAGGACAATTAGTTATTTGGTAAGTTTCTTAAAAATTTGACATTTTTTCAATAAACATGATATAGAAAGTATACAAAAATGTTATTGAATTAAATCATAGATATTTGTCGTGCAATTAAAATATCATATATTAAGTCAAAGTGGTGGTGAAAATGTTACCACCATACATTATTTGTTATAAAAAAAACCAAACATCATTGTTCACAAAATACAAATCAAAGTGATGATCAAAATACAAAAAAAAAAGTCAGGGTATATCTGACCTTCCGACTCCTCCTCTGCCTCCTGTACTTCAAGGCTTGTCGTGCATCAACTATCATGGTATATACAATGACCATCCCAAGAGTCCCTTCTTGAAACTGTCATCTCTCTATGTCCGTTCTCTCAATGGCCATAATATGTTGACATATTGATAACACATCAACGACATGGTCGCCCTAGCCTGCTCCTCTTATAATATATCCTAATGAGTCGACCTAGGCGGCACTCTGTCTACATCCAATGTCACATAAGGATGCCACACTCTATAAAAACATTGAATGTAACTGTATACCACTCTTCATGTGTGAGGAGATTACACACGACGTACGTACATCCATTGGGACAAGATGACCATAAAACACCTCAAATATAATACCAACATCTTTGTGAGTGAGAATAGGAGGAGAAAACACAAAAACGACTCTAAGAATACCCTGCATATACCTAAACTACCACATTACTCGCTTAAGTAAATATGGATATATCAGTCGTGATCCACAAGCCAACCAGTTGAAGTAAAAGGCTACCACATCTAATGGGAGTGTCTGACGGTGATCTGTATATGGCATGAAGCAAATATCATCTGTCGCACTGTAATCAAGATAAAATTGAAACAACTTGATTTCCTAATTCCCTCTGAGCAGGATGATCGAGCAAGCACGTGGCAAATCCTAACATTAGTCTTCCGTACATGCCCAACTGGCTAGACGTGGAAAGTACTAGTGAATTCATTCTTAAAAATGGTTCAAATGAAATATTAATAATGGAGTAGCACAAGTATTATAAATTATTAGTAATAGGAAATGTGAAAAAATA